AAAATAAAATACCTGTTTTGAAAATGTAAGGAAATCAGTATTTTAAAATATTTAGACATCGGAGGAAAATTTTCAACATCAAAAAATAAAAAAAATGAGAAGAAATGAAAATAAATAAAATGTAGGCATTAAATTAGAAATAAAAGTCTAAAAAAATTTTTTTTTAAATTTTGTTAGGAATTTAAAAAAATTAAATATTTTTTTTTAATTTAAAAAAATAAAAAAAAAACTATAATGCAGGCATTATATTATTCTAATGTCAGTCTCAACCCTGTAAAATGCAGAAAATAGTTCAATGGAACGTTTTATAAATTAAATTGCGGCGCGACGACGTGATGTGCTGTATTCAAAAATTCATTTATCGAAAACAAAAAAACGGTTTTTTGGAAAACAATTATGTCATCAAAAAAAAGCTCAGCTTTCATTTAAAAATAAAAGGAAAAAAAAATGGACCCAAAGATGCGAAAAGTAAAAATTTATTTATATTTTTTCAAAATTTGTGTCAAAATAAAAAATTTTTTAAAAATAGACTGTGCCATTCAAAAGCCCATGAAAAAATCTAAAAAACACATATCCTAATTTTTTAAAAAAAATTTTCCTCTAATTATAAGAAATAATCAAAGTGGAGCTTGTCACGCAAAAGTTCAGAACTTCAACCCCCTCCCCCTCGGACAATTTTTTATAAAATTCAAAAATATTTTTCCGACAAATCACTTACCAATAGGACATATCATAAAAAAAATTTGGGAATAAGTGGACAACATTTTTTTTGGGTGGACTTTTGACGTGATATCCACCAGATTCAATACATAAAAGTTTTGAATACATTTAATTCCGTTTTACGTTTTGTTTATACGGAATAAAAAGGTATTTAACTTGGCTGTTATCTATTCCTTACGTAGACTTACGAAATATTAAAAAAATCAGGTATTAAATGGAATTCATTTTTTTAATTCCAATCAATTCCAGCCTTTTTGCCGGGACTTTACGGACCATTTACGGACACATTTCTGACAAAAATATAACCAGTCCGAGTCAAATAAGAAAACATTTTACTTAAAACTATAAATTAAATTTTGTCATAATTATAAAACATGAAGACATCAATCGATTTCTTCATGTTTTATAATAATTAAAGATGGAAAATTGATAAAATCGTTATTTTATATTATAAGAATATTGTACTTATTCAAAATTATTTTCAACATTTCAATTCAATTACTATTTTTAAGAATTTTTAACTAAAATTCTTCTTTAAATGAATTAAGTTTCGAAAAAGTTCTTTGACAATTTTCCAATCCATTTGTTTACAATATTCAATTTTTCGAATTTCAATTATTCGTAAATTATACTATTAAATATACAATAGAAAATAAAAACTTCAAATAATATAAAAAAATTCAATTAAACTTTTTCAAAAAAATTAATATCAAAATTTTCAAATTTCAAATTTAATTATTTAAATACAAAAAAAAATTTATTGAATAATTGAATGTTTCTTAAAATTCAATTCCCATGAAGAATTTTATCAACAAATTTTTAAATAAATTTAATTATTGTTTTGCAGAATTTTTAACTATGATTCTTCTTTAAATTAATTATTTTTAATAATTTTTGAAAAATTTCTTTGAAAATTTTCAAATCTTTTTGTTTAAAATTCAATTTTACGAAATTTCATCGATTATTCAGAAATTCTTCAATCAAATATATATTACACTGTAAATAATTTAGGGAGTTAACGGACTCGGAGTGAAATTTTTCGAGTTAAAAATCAACACCAAAAGAGAGTTAATTTCTAACTCCCTTCATTCAACACCCGCGCGAGTTATTTTTTCCATGGGGAGTTAGCATTTGGGTGTTAAATTTTAACTCTCTTTATTTAACACCCCTGGCATTAACTCTCCAATGGGTGCGACTTTTAAAGAATCCCCTGGGGAGTTAAAATTTAACTCCCTTTTTTTACAGTGTATTGAAAAATACGGGATATCCATTTTTTTTCTATGGATGTGTCAACTAAAGAAATGGATGTGGTATATGGATGTGATAACCTTAAAAATGGATATCCCGTATTTTTCAATATATATGGTTGTCCCAACCATGCAGTTTTTTCCGTGTATATGAATGCATCATAATAAATTACATACAACCCCCTATCTGTATTTTTTATATTCATTTTAATTTTTATAAATTTCAAATAATGTTTTTTTATATGAATGCATCATAATAAATTGCAATAAGTATATGACAAAGTACACATGGATTTTGAAGTACACGGAAAGAAAAGGTCTGGAAGAGATATCCATAAAAATATTGTTGAGCAGAATATTGTTGTGTTATCCAATTCAACGGAAGAGACAACTTTCAGAATGGAAGCACATTCCATAATCAATGGATGAGGGAGCCATATTATATTGTTGAATCAAATATGGATGTGACATCCATAGGCATGGTTGGGCTTACAATTCATGCTATGGATTTTCACATATGGCTGCCTCATCCATATAATCTTTGGTTGGGAGATCCATAGTTAGTTGCGCGCAATTCATTATCATGGCATCCATTTAAAAATGGTCGTCTCAATTTGTCCGTCGCGTCGGTTTCCTGTCACGTCTATATAATCACGTTGTGAGTTTATTGTGTATAAATAGTGTTATAATTGTTTATTATTTATTATCGTTATTGTCTATTAGTTTTTATGTAAATTCATTTTCATGAAATATGTGTATAGTATATAAGGAATATTATATGCTCAAATATTGTAGTAGTTTAAAATTAGCATTTGTATAGGACATGAAATGTATATACAACATTTACGTTTCGAAACCGGTACCGGTCTCCTCATCAGAATTTTATTCAAAAATCATAAAATATGCCATAACTTAAAATTCGGGTATGCATGTGAATAAATCCAAATGCAAAAAAATTAACCTAAAAGTTGTTTTTTTTGGTCATAACTATAACCAGATGTTTTTTGGTTAATTTAAAAAATTGCTAATATTTTGCAAATATTTTTGCAATAATGACCAGTATGGCAACATTTTTGCCACCAAAAAACATCTGGTTATAGTTATGACCAAAAAAAACAACTTTTAGGTTAATTTTTTTGCATTTGGATTTATTCACATGCATACCCGAATTTTAAGTTATGGCATATTTTATGATTTTTGAATAAAATTCTGATGAGGAGACCGGTACCGGTTTCGAAACGTAAATGTTGTATATACATTTCATGTCCTATACAAATGCCAATTTTAAACTACTATTAAATTAATTATATGGGACAAAACATCAAAACAAACTTTTCAAATATTGTAGTTGCGTGTATAGTGTAGTGGATAGCGTTAGTGTTTAGTATGCGTTAGGTCTAGGGTTCGTGTCGCCCCCCATCGGTTAATAATTTATTTCGTTAATATGCGGTTATTACATAAGTGGTGTGTATTAATTAACAAAAATGTGTATAAAATATCTCAAGTGACATTGAATTTAATTAATTGAGTGATTCCAATTTTTTGTTTCCCATTTCCATTACTATGGATCACCCAACCATAGATCTTTTGCTGCTCCAACAATATACAGCCAGACATAGAATATGGATACAGCAACCTTAACTATGGATATCCCGTATTTTTCAATATAATATGGCTGTGATATCCATGTATCTGGATGTGTCAACTATTCCTTTTTCTCCGTGGCATGATTTAATTAATCTGTTTATGTGTAATTTTCGTCGATTGCCCATTTCCCGGGATAATAATATTTTCTTATGTGGTTATTGAAATACATTTTTGAAAGAGTGTTCAATAAGTAATGTAAAGATCATTAGATCATTGATCATAAATTGATTTACTTTTTGTAACATTTTATGCTGTACTTGGTTACATAGTTGCCTGCGTGTGTCACAGTTTGCCCAAAAGTTGGGTAAAATGAAGGTCCTGACCTCTTGACAGTATAGTTACCTGGTGGAACCATCAGTTTACCCAACTTTTGGGCAAACTGTGACACACGCAGGAAACTATGTAACCAAGTACAGCATAAAGTGTTACAAAAAGTAAATCAATTGAGTGCTTGGATACAACAAGGGGACGTACGCTCGGCGAGCCGCTTTAAAGTCAGTCAAAGGTACCGTAAAGTGTAAAAAATGAAAATTCAAAATTTTGAATTTTGAAAACTGCCATCTTATAGGAAATAAAAATGCGCATCTTTTTTTTCTTTGAAATTTCTTTGAATAATTAATATTTTTATATGATAATGGAAAAAATGTGATTAATTTTCAATGTTAAATTTCATTGAATTTTAAAATAAAAATCGTCGTATCTCCGACAAAAATGAATGAATTCTTTTGATTTTTGGTATCCCTGTAAAAATTTTATTATTTATGAAAATTTATTGAATTATTGTGAAGAAATTTATAGAAAATTTGTAAATAATTGAATTCCTGTGAAATTTTTATTATTTTATGAAAATAATTAAATGTTTGCCAAGAATTATTTTATTTAAATTTTTGAAAATAATTGGATTTCAGAGAAGAATTTTATTATTTCTGAAAATAATTGAAATTTTTGAGAAGAATTTTTTTTAATTTTTAAACATAGTAGAATTTTTCAGAAGAATTTTATTGTTTTTGAAAATAATTGAATTTCTTATGTTATATAATATAACCTACATAACCTTCGTTGGATCATGTGGATGTGCATAGGCATCTTGAAAAATTTTAATGAAATATAGGGAGATAGTAGAGTGAATCGTATGTGGATAAGGTAGTTTTCTAGAAAATCGATGTCATACTCAAGTAGTGAATGTGGGAGTGGAAGCAAGGCGCAAATATTTAAAAGAAAAATTGTAATTTATCCAAATTCGGATGCTTTTAGAATTATTTCATTAAAACGATCAATATAGGGTGAAAGACACCTATATTGACACCATCTCAGACATCTTGTCATTTCTTCGCTTACAATTCTTTTTTTTAGAAATGAGAAAAGTAAACCTTCGTTTAATTTTACCTGCAGGGTAATAGGGCCCTTGAAAGTGGAAAATATTGGCAAACGACACAAAGTTGCTCGCCAGCAGAATTCCAGAGGGATCCTTCCGAATCGCCAGCGCCGGAAGCGACCAGTGCTCCTCTACTGTTACTCCCATTATTATTGCATGGCTCAGCTAAAGCAAGTGCTGGCCCGAGACCGGATGATACGTCCACTTCGTCGTAATTTGTCGAGTTTCCAGTCGCCAAATAGAGTTGCTGAAAGAAAAAATAAAATTATAAACGAAAAATGAAGTAAATAGTAGTATTTAGTTTATTATTTATTATTTATTTAACATAGTTCATGCCTTTCGGCTTTGAACGACTTTCCGGTTCACTCCATTACATATTTCTATTATTATTATTATTATTTTTTTTTTTTTTTGCTTAGGGAATTTTAGGAAATCTGCCTACAGATACCTTGGATTCCGCACTCCAAGGTTATGTGGGGTTGGTGTGATAAAACAAAAGGAGATGAAAAAAGAAAAATAAATATATAAAATAGTAAATTTAATAAACTGGCGACCTACTGCCAGCCCGACCCACTAAAACCCGTAACCCTTCTTCTGGAGCCCTTTACCCTCCCTCGGAACTGTCGTAAGACTTTAGCCATCGAGGGTGGCGCTCTAACTCTGTCGCTAATCCGACTTTCTGCTTTTCTCTGCGGTTATCCTGCGTTTATAGTTAAATTGAAAACTATTTCAATATAAAAGCGGAATTAACAGCACAAAAATAATAAAAAAAAACAAATGTTTAATTAAGTGTAAACAGTCAAAAGATAAAATTGCAAACGAATATATAAAAAAAGAAAAAATAAACGCGTATATAATATTGAAAACATAAAACAAATTAAAAAATGTATAAGGACAAATAAATCACATAATAAATTAATAAAAAACAAACAAAACAAATTAAAAGCTGTTTAAATTACGCTTTTTGGCGGCCGTCGAGATCCTTCCTCGACATAACCGAGATTATGAAGTTCTCGACTTGCCGCTAATTCTCTTCTGACTGGGTCATCAGCGATACCATGTTCTCCGGTGTAACTTGACTGTTTACACCTTCGAACATGGCCCGCCTCTCCAAGTCCCATTTTCTGCATGAGAAGAGGGTGTGCTCCGCGTTGTCCTCAGGGAACTGGCAATATGCACACACCTCGTCCTCGCGTAATTTAAAGCGACACAGGTACGAGTTAAAACACCCGTGACCTGTGAGCGCCTGAGTCAAATAATAGGAAACCTGACCGTGTTTCCTATTTATCCAGGTGGCGAGTGCCGGGATAAGGCGATAAGTCCATCGACCTTTTTCCTCACCATCCCATCTTTCTTGCCATCTTTCTATGAGCCTGTGCCTCGCTTCTTTGCGGATCAGGCCTTTGCTTGGTCTTATTTCCTCATCCAAGGAACCTCTTTTTGTAGAAAAGAGAAACATTTCTTCCCTTTCCCTCGCCAAAAGATCTGCTGGCGGGACACTTGCAAGGACCTGCACAGCACTCGTAGATACCGTCTTATATGCAGAGATGATACGCGTTGTTATCGATCTCTGCGCAGACAGTATCTTTTCACAGATGGTCACACATCTTTTACTCCTTAGGGATGGGGCCCACGCTGGTGCTGCATAGAGCATTTTAGCGTGGGCGACACTCGCCACCAGTCTTCTTTTTTGTTCACGGGGTCCGCCAACATTTGGCATTAGCCGTGAAAGATTAGCCGCACACTCGATCGCCTTATTTGACGCCGTAGCCATGTGGTGGTGGAAGTTTAACCTTCCATCTAACTCCACACCAAGATATTTAATTTGCTTACTCCACTTGACCTCGAATCCGTCTATCACGATTCGTGGGAGCTCATAACCACGTCTGTCTGTGACCAGCAGTGCCTCGGTCTTTTCCAGGGCCATTTCAAGACCTCTGGTATCCAGCCAGCTTTTAGCTAGTCGCAGACATTCGTTCACCAATGTCCCAAGAGCCTCCTCACTTTCGGCAGTGCACACGAACAACGCGTCGTCCGCAAAGCCGATGATCACCGCACCTTCGGGCAGATCCATTCGCAGAAAATCATCGTAAGATACATTCCATACAAATGGACCAACCCTCGAGCCTTGAGGTGCCCCACGCTGCATCTCTTCCCTGAGAGTGCAGGTGTCTCCCTCATATATAACCCACCTGTCGCTAAGATAATTATCCATTATCCGCAACAAGTAGGGCGGCATGTTTTTCTTTTCCATCGACTCGATGAGATCTTTCCATCTTGCGGAATTAAACGCGTTGCGTATGTCAATTGCTACCAACGCGCAGAAGCTCTTCTTTTTCCCAGGTCCCAATTTGTTTTTTCCTGCTTTGGCTATGTCCACAACTGCCTGGATGGCATCAACCGTGGACTTGCCTTTACGGAAACCAAATTGGTGATCGGATAGACGATTCTCTTCGGTCAAGTGGCTTTGCATTCTCTGCAGAACCATATCCTCTAGAAGTTTACCCATCGTATCTAGTAGGCATATAGGCCTGTACGATGAAACCTTATCTAGAGGTTTTTCACCTTTCCTTAGGAGGACTAACCTCTGTCGCTTCCAGTCGCGGAAGAACTCTCCTCTCTCAAGGCAAAGATTGAAGCATCGAAGCAGAATCTGGGGTGAAGTGTCGATTACCAACTTTAGGATCTCGTTACTTATCCCATCGATTCCAGGCGCCTTGCCTGTTTTCAATCTTTTGCCTGCTTTTTGCAGTTCACTAAGTGTGAAGAGTTCTTCCTCTTCGACTTTGCAAAAACTCCAGTCCCTTCTAAGGTATGGCTCCGCAGGAAGAAACAAAGAACTTATTATCTTTCTGACCCAATCGGGATTGTCCAGGCCGGGGGTCTTTTGCCTCGTCACTAATTTCTTAGTTACGATTTTAAAAGCCAGACCCCATGGGTCCTTATCGACTTCCTCGATTAGGTCCTTCCAGCTATGGCGTCGCGACTTCCGGATCTCTTTCTTGAGGTTCTTTTTCGCCTCCTTGAAAGCCTCTTTCAGCAAGGGATCTCCCTTAGATCGGGTATATGTCCTTCTTGCTTTGAGGCATTCCTTTCTCAAGGAGGCTAGCTCCTCTGACCACCAGTGCAAGGATTTTCTTACGGGAGTAGCGCCTTTGCGTGGCATTGACGCATTGCAAGCGGTGACTATCATGTTCCTCCCCGCTCGTACCTCCGCATCCAGACTGCTCGGCCTCTTCACCCAGCCCAAGTCCTCAATTAAAAGGGCTTCTCTTAGGGACCGGCCGAACTTTTCCTTGTCGAGTTTCTTCATATTCCACGAGGAGGTTTTGCGACTAGGAGCATCCTGTCTTTTCCCTCCTCGTGTGTCTCCCATCGAGACTGAGAACTCAATATACTGGTGGTCACTTGCGGTATATTCCTCAGAGACCCGCCAGTCGGTTATGCGGCTAAATAGTTTAGACGATGCGTTTGTTAGATCTATAATTTATCCGATCGCACCTCGTCTAAAAGTCCATGTATTGCCTCGGTTTACTGCCAATAAGTCGTTTCTGGAGATCATTTCTCCAATACGAATTCCTCTCTTGTCGAGTCTCGTCTCACCCCACTCTGGCGACTTTGCGTTAAAATCACCAGTGATGATGACATCCAGCCTGGATTCTGTGAGGCTCGCTTCTAGGTCTTCGATATTGGCTTCGAAGTTTGTCAGTGGGTCGTTGGGTGAGAAGTAGCAGCTATACATACGTATATTAGCCACCTCTATCCACACGAACCCACTGCTCGTCTCCAGAAACTTGTCAACCCGCAATTCTGGGTTGCACAGCTTTATGGCGGCTCTCTTTGCCTTATCCTGATACCAAGGGGCGAGGTCGCTTCCTTGATACTGCTCACTGCAGAACAGGATATCGACCTCATTTTCCCTTGCTGTTTGCATTAGGAGCAACTGTGAATCCTTACTTGTATGCAGGTTGACCTGCAAAAATTTTAAGGATTTGCCCTTTTAATCTTTTGCAGTTCTTATCTGTAAACCGGGCAGGCTCTCTTTCCGGAATCGTGATCCGTCTCTGGCTTCCCCAGGTCCAAGCACGTAAGGCACTTCGGCTTAACTTTACAGCTCTTCGCGAGGTGTCCCTCTCCGCCGCATCTCCGACAGTTTTTACTTCTGTCGGGGCCTTTGCAGGTTCGGGTAGAGTGTCCATAGGCTAAGCACTTTTGGCACCTAGCTACTTCAACATGCTCGCGAATTTGAGCATTTATCCAGCCGATTTTGATTCGGCCAAGTTTAAGCAGAATGTCACTTTCTGCTTCTGCCAAGCGGATTAGAGCAACCTTAGTTCCTTTGTAGCGCGGCAGTAATTTGCACTCTTTAGGCAGGTCGGACTTGCCCAGCTTTTCTTCCAATGCTGAAGTCACCTCACTCTCTGTAGTGGCTTCATCCAGGTCTCTGATTTCTAGAGACCTCTTATTTACAAGAGGTATGACCTCGGCCTTGCCATGCAGGGCCAAGGATAGACCTTTCGCAAATTTTAAGGTCTCTCCACCCTTTTTCACTATCAGGAGAACTTCCTGTTTAAAAGTTCTCCTGATTTTCTGTACCACGGTGCCTGTATCTTCAGGTTTAACCTTTTCTTTTATCAGCGGCAAGATACCCTCGTAAAACTTTGGGTCTTTTGCCGTGATCTTTACAGCTTCCGTGGACCTGAGTTTCGAAGGGGGCTTCGTGAGCTCTTTTTTCTCGCCTTGGGTCTTTCTTCCTGGAGCCCGTTTGTTTCTTTTTCCAACAACCTTAAAGTCATCCTCAATGTCCGCTCCGTCTTTCAAGACAGTATCGGCATACGTCTTACTAGGACTACTTGAGGACGCCCCTTTTGCTTCAACTAGCGACTCAGGATTAAGCTGTGGAGCATCCTTTCGCTTAATCCTCTTTTCACTTTGAGTCGCTCGTTGTGGACTCACATCCGGGCTTACTCCTTCCCTAGGGCGCTTATTAACCTTTTTCGTCTTAGTTGCGCCTGCAGCCGCGCTATCCCGGGTTGCAATAACACTCTTCGTCTGCCGTGGAGTTTCCACAGTTGGAAATTGCGGCTCTTGGTCTTTGAAAGGCTCGGGGATAAAACGTAAATTCTTACAGATTATATCGAACGCATTTTCCAAAACCGTCACGCCATCCTGGATGTCACGACCGACGTTTTTTTGTCGCTTGAATCCTTGGCGCAAGCTTTTAAAAATTCCCGGAATAGCCAGGAA